TTATATATGACACTTATAATGTATACAGTTACTATATATGCTATGTTTATCATGTATTGTTATATATGACATGTTTACCACATTCATACGTATTTATCATACATAGCTATTACATATGACATGTGTATCATCTATTTATTGCACATGATATGTTTATCATGCATTTATTACATATGGTGAATTTTCAAGATCATCTAGTCTGCCCTGCTCTGTCACATTGAGGTTCTCTTTCTGACAGCTAGTTGCCATGATGGGAGCCATGCCTGCTAAGGCCACTGGCTTTGGCTTTGAGCAGTACAGTGCTCTGTAGGTCTTCCTTGCGCTGAGCCAGGTCTGCTCTTTGGTAAACTCCACCCACTGGGGCTTGTTCTGTCCTCTGGAACCTGAACCATCTAAAGCTGTTGGTACGAGTTTTTTCTCACACTTTTCACTTCTCTAGGTTAATAACCCTCTCCCTGTGCCACAGACAAGGACAAAGAACACAGTCGTATGACTGTTCTGGGCATTCAGTGGTTCATGTTGGAGTATGAAGAGAACTTCCTGCTCTTGGGTTCCAGGCTAATGTGTAACCTCCCTGAGTCACATGGAAGTGGGCTGTCCTGATAGAAAGAAGCACTTGTTCATTCTACCAACAAATATGACCTGTTGTGTTGTTTTTAGAGTCCTTTGTTTAGCTAAAAGTGTTCTTTACATTAATTGTAAAAGGTTTTTCTGGCTGACCCAGACTAATTCATTAGCACACGAGCATTACCACTCACACACAAGGAACCAACATGTAGCCAAAGTCATGTGTCAGGAATCTCTGAGGAAAGTGGTCATGTGTTAATAGCTTTACATTTAACTTGAAAAATAGATAACACAGCCATAGAAGAATTATCTCCAAGCTTGAAAGTAATGTTCTCAACCCAAGTGAACCCACTGATGTTGAAGAAAGGAGTTAGGAAAACAGATGACAGGATAGAAAAGACAGAAGAATTTGAGCGTGTTAGTTAGAGAATAGATTATCATCCCTGCTTACTGATTTTTTTTTTACATTTTTATGTTTTCCATATGAATAGTAAGGTCATCTTCGAAGAAAAATGCACAATGGTTATGTGTGTGGAGCAGCCAGGGAACAGGCAAAATTAAAGCAGACACAGTCCACTTCCTAGGAACCCATGGAGGGGTGACCAGGTCTCTCAAAAGCTTAGCAGTGAGGGGACAAAGAGCACCAGTCCCTGACATCTTGATGTGAACCATCAGCTGGTCATCTGGAAGTTTCCATAGCATCCAACAGGAGGTGTGAGGCTCTTTTCGGACTCACTGTCCTCCTCCCAACAGCCACCATATTTTTACAAGTAAGGAAATCAAGATTCAGAAAACTGCAGTGATGTGTCTACTGCCATATGGCTTTGGAGGCAGAGCCAGGACTAGAACTCTAGCCTTTGGGTCTTCGCCCAACATCAGACCTACTACTCTCTAAACAGAGTGGATGACTTCATCTTACCACCCTAAAATGGTGGTTCTTCCCATCTCTCTGTAAGCATGGGGTGGTGGGTTATGCCTTTCATTCACCACAAAGCAAATTTCACTGTCCCCCATCAGTGATGACTGCCCAAAGTCACAATTGTTCCCTACGTATTTTTCATATTTAGATTGAGTATCTTACAAAGTTGGGTATTTGTCTTCTATATTTGCTGTAAATGAAGGAAGAATTTTAACAGCTGTATAAGTAGAGCAAAAAAAAAGGAGGGGGAGGAAGGAAGGAAGGAAGAAAAAACTAGCTTTTATTTTTTCAAAGTAAGGGAGGAAAAATAACATGAACACAAAGGAACACTCTTACTAAGAGTAGGTGGAGAAAAGCATCGGAAAAATAATACCTCAAGATGCATTGAAACATTTTAGGGAATTAGGGAATTCTGATCTCTTGAAAAAAAAAGAAAATTAATATTAAAGACAAGCTGTGAGTTTCCATCTGGCCTTGCCGCTTTCGACTAACGCTTCCATGACGGAATTCATCTGTCCATCAACTGTCAAAAATTCTCCTGTCAGTAAATCCCACGATACCCCAGCAAGCCCACCCCGCTCAAAATATTCCATGCCACAAACTACTCCGAATTCTGAATTCTTTTTTTCAGATCTCTGTACTGTAAGACATAAAAGTTGGGGCTTTTTCCCCCACCCCTTCCTTTTCACTTCCTTTCTACCCAGTCTCTCTTACCCATACCCTTCACTGTGGGGGTATAAGGGAACTTGGGGTGGTAAATTTGGGGATCCCTCAGTCATTTGGAGACTGAGTTCCCACCAAGATCCTTCTAAGCTTTTTCACTGGCGTCTGACAGCAGACAGCCCACATCTGTTTTAAACCACTGAGTGGTTGTGAAGTGTGAACTCCCCACTGTTTAATATAACTACATGACTATTTAATGTACACAGTGGTAGAGCCGTTCAGAATGCCAAACTGTTGTGACATGCCTGAAGGACACATATAAACACAACATACTGTGGTTTATTGTGACAAAGAACATCTATGCCGCAAATAGGAAGGATCTGTTTGTCCGCTAGTGGAGGCAAATGAGGGAGAAAAAAACGTTTGCAAAATTTTCTCCCCCCTGTGCCCCCTCACCCATGCCAGTAGTGAAATTGATACAAAATGGATGAATTGATACTTCCAGGGTGGGCATTATAAAATGCTCTATTTTATCATTTAAAATGTAAAATTTTGCAAGGATTTATTCTTTAATCTGTATGCAGATTGTTATATAATGCAGAGGAAATGAGGAGGTAGAAATAAACGGAAGGTGGACTACTGAAGATTTTGGATTCTTTTTGTCCACTTTTGGGGTGAGGAAAAATTTTCAGAAACTCCGGTAACATTTTGGTGCTGCTTTTCGTAGACTTGGGACTTTAATTTTTTGTACATTGCTATAGTGCATCTGCGTGTGCAACCTTATGGCTTTACAAACTATTTCATTTTTAACACAGTTCTCCCAAAGGTGAATTCTTATACCTACTGACGTCTCATTAATCAATTGACCAGAATCTCTTATTTTACATCTCATTGCTACAATTCTAATTAACCTCTGCGAGTTAAATACTTACAAAAAATCAGCTCCAATTGTAAGCCTTTTCCCTCTAATCTAAGAATTTCAATAAATGTTTTTCTTTTTATCAGTCTTTAATTAGGCATTAAGTGGAAAAAAGAATTGTACTATATGGGGTCTATTGCTCTTACAGGGGTTTGAAAATCCTAGAATTAAATCTTTAGGTAAAAACACATACGAAGTATATTTGCCACAAGAGTGTAGGTGAGGCTAGTCTTATACACACATTTAGGATTCTTTTTTTAATTCAAAGTTACTGTTTCTCAGAGAATAACTATTTCTGTGGAAAATGAAAGGAAATATCCTGAAATAACAATAGCAAAAAACCCTCTTGCAAATGATACTTAGGGAAGAGAAAAAGGTAGTTTCAAAGTCAATTTCAACCCCATTGCTGTTGCTACTTAAGTTGTATTATTATGGTTAAACAACAACAACAACAACAAAAACCACAGGGTCAACTTCATCCCTTATTTCCAAATTGAAAATACCAGGGAGAAAGCCCCAACTTTAGGAAAACTTATGCCTGGCTTTGACTATTGATATTTGGATTTGGGGTTCCTATGATTTGTACAGAATTTCAACCCTAATAGCTTAGCAGTCACCAAGGGAACGAATCTGAGACAGTCTTTCAAAAAAAGTGTCAAGTGCTGTCCTTTCTGCCTTAAGACTGCAGCCTATGTCCTGTCCACGATGCAATGGACTTTTCGTATAGCATTTACTTTAAAAGGACATTTTGAGGAGCCAAGGAGGAGAAATTTATTAACATAGCAGTGAGGAGAAAACCACTTTTGCAGCTCTAGGGAAATGGAGAATTTTGGTATGAGGTCTTTTAAAAGAAAATTGCCAACTTTAAAAAATGTAGTGAGTTTGCTGGATTTGCTTGCACAGGATTTTGTAGCATATTCCCCTCTCATCTGCTGGGTTTCATCACACTCCACGCTGCCATAACCCAGTAACACCTCACATCGGCTCCTAGCGTGCAGAAGTTTCTGGTTCCGCGGCTGCAAACACTACTACCCCTTCCGCAGCCGAGTAGACTTGACTGGGCTTTCATTTTAATTTCCTTTCTCCCGCTGGTTGCAACTTTGGGAAGGGAAGGCAAACCTCGCCACACAAACAGGGTTAGTGCCTCTTTAAGGAAAATTTAAATTGCATTTCCTACTGTCAGTTAAGTCTCATCAATCATGTTTTTAATTAAAAAGAAGGACATCTACATCCTACTTCCGACTCAAAGTGCATAATGAAATTGTAGATTCGGGCAGGGCTGGAGAATTTCAGCAGAGATGCAGGGGGTCAGATACACTGGTGCATATGCAAGTAGCAAGAAAACAACACTCCTGATAGGGCCGGGTGACATGTGTCAACCCTTGTCATCGAGCAACAAGAAAGGCAATGTGCCCAGACAAAGGGTAGGGTGGAATCTTTGCACACTGGCAGAACCTGACCCACGCGCAAGGGCTTTGTGTAGCAGACGCCGTCTCTCATTGTTCTGTGCCTGCCTCCACAGTACCCCTGACAACAGTCACTGCCGCTGGCATTCCACCCTGACATCTGTTCAGCTTTATTGATGCCGCCCTGGAGGAATTCCCAGTGTAAACAGGGAATTCTCTAAGGGAACCCCATGTTGTAAAAGGATGAGTTGCATAATGCAGAGGTTTAACCACTATTTAAAGCTGTGACACTTGACTGAAAGTGACTTGATTTTTCCCCTTTTCCAATCCCACCTCCTTCTTCTCCACCCTTAACTGTATTTGGCACAAACTAGCTGCCCCCGCCCGAAGCTTCCCCTTCTTACGCTTTTGTTTTCCTTATGTATAACTGTTAGAAGAAATGAGGGATGGGGCCTGGGTATCACCATCCAAAAAAGCCACTTGAAAAAATTTCTGGGTTACAGTCAATTGAGTCTAGGTTGTCGCAATGGAATCCTGCCCGCTGCCCACCCACACTACTGGCAAGAAACAGCTTGAAAGTCGCTTGGTCCTGTGGCTGAAGCTGATGGGGGTGGGTTTTTTCCTCCCTGCTAGAAGCAACTGTGACCACTTACAGTTCCCGAGCGAAAGCCAGGCAGTACAAGTTCTGGCGATGCTAGGACATCAGGGATTTACCTTTGGAATTTTATGTTTTTGGCAATGGTGCCATAGGATATTAATAAGTTTTTTTTTGGAAAAAAAAAAAAAAAAAGCAGACCTGATGGGACTCGCAGAGCATCCATCGCTGCCCTAGCAAAGGCTTGTGCACTTTAAGGCCAGCTCTGTAAGGTTGCGGCCTCACTCAACTTCTTGGCTGGTGTTCAAGTACAGGGAGCGTCGAGCAGCTCCAGCCACTAAGGTTTTGTTGGTTCAGTTAAATATGCAGAGCTCCGTAACCAGGGCCCTGTGCGGCGTGACATAACCACATCCAGTTAGTAGTGAACTTGACTTGTTACACTGTGTAGACAGAATCTGTTTTGTGAGGCCATGGGCTGGATTTAAATTTGTGTTCCTCTCCAGTTGACTGGTGGATTGACAACATTTGAGATCTGCAGTGACTCCCTCCCACACTGATTCAGAATAAGTGACATTCTGTGTTATCATAACCAGGGCAAAAGAAAATGGGGAAATTATCAGAGTGTGGAGTCCCAAGTCATGAAAGGCAGTCCATTGCTCTGCATGCTGGTTTTTACCTAGAGTGTTAAGATTTATATTCCACAGTTGCCTCCCCTTGTGGAGGGTGAACCCACATTGCATAAGGGAGCAGAACGTTAGGTGGGAGCAGTCAACTCACCATTGACTGCTGTTGCTCCCATGATCACCGATTGACTTTTTAATTTAAAACAACAGAAACCCCCTACAGATTTTTTTTAAAATTCCTAAAAATAACATATTTACTTTTGCTGGCTGAGACAATGAATGTTCATTTTGGATAATTTAGAAAAAGCGAAGAAACAAATAAAATGAAAATAACCCATTAACCTACTACTCAGAAATAACCATTAATCCTCTTGTTATCTCTTCCTAGTCTTTTCTATTTTAAAAAAGAGTGGTTATCCTATGTTGTTTTCTAAACATACTAGACCATCATTCAGTATCGTATAATTCTACAACATAATTTAATAGAGTATATAATATTCCTTTGTAGAACCATAATTATTCATTTTAGGACAAGTGTGGTTTCTGTTGTTTTGTTTCTTATAAATAATACTGAAAAGAACATCTTTTCTAGGTGAAACTTTAGGCATATCCATGGCTCTTTCTTTGGGATAAACCCTTGAAATAGAATTCTAGGCCAACAGCTGTATGCATTTTGAAGAGTTTTGACTGATATTACCATATAGCAGAAAGATCGCCCTAACTTATATTCCCACCCACAGGGGATCAGAGTGCCTGAGAAGGAAGTTCTCTGGGCACAGTCAGGTGCATCCACACAATGTGGCAGTCCCTTCTCCACAGACTCACAGCAGTGTTTCTAATTACTGCTTCCCCTCCCAGGCTCTTCCCACCTGTATTTCTCTCAGGCAGTTGTGGGAAAACAGTAAGCACCAACAGCTCAGAGCTGATAAAAAGACTTATCCTCTGGCAACATTCCCCAATTTAAAAATGCAAAGTAAGTTAACTTTGACATTTTTTACCAGTCACAGCTTTAGTGCAAACTGGAAAGAGAATCCAGGCCAGTAGCCCTCCAGCCTGGGGACCAGGACCTGTTGGAAGGTAGAGGGCACAGACCAGCCCAGGCTTTACAAGGGAGGCCACTGCTCTTGACGGCTGCCCCTTTAAGGCGGTCTGCCTTCCCTGAGTCAGAATCTACCTTTTGGGATTCAAAATAATTTTGCAACAGTGGATACAGACCTTCTTTATGTGTTATTGGTCTGGGAACAGCAACAGATTAAAAAAAATATTACCAGGTCAAATAACAGCTGTTATTATTAAGTTCAGCTTTTATTATCAATTTGCTAGTCGATTCCGGCAGTAAAAAAAAAAAAAAAAGTCCGCATCTGAGCTTTTTACTAATCAGTACTCTCATTTTGCTAATATTCTAACGACTGTCAATTTACTTCAGTCTGCCATTTGCAGAATTTTCCAATTAGCAGCAAACCTGTTCCACCTTCTTCTGTAATTACGGGGACTCAGTTCAGATCAGCTGCGGCCAGACAGTACATGGAGTCGTTGCCAAAATCCTGGCAATGTTGTTTTTAACCTTTGCATGTGCTGGCACGATTTTAACATCTCTGTTTGTAGGCAGGAGGCTCCCACAGTAGTAGCATGTGTCAAAATATCAAAATTATTTTTAATAAACACACAACGAAGATGAAAACACAAATATGGGCATATTTGGGTTTTGGATGAATTTAACGTCTGCTCCAGATTCAGTTGCATTCTTCAGCTCTGCTCCCTCCCCTCCTTTAAAAAAAAATCAAGAGTCTTTTGAAAACAAACAATTTTTACCTGTGTCCGTCACTAGTAAAACAAGTTATGAAAGAAGCCTAAAGTTTGGAATGAAAGGGCCCTCCGTGATCATGTAGAAATACCCCTTTCATTTTTATAAATGAGGAAACTAAGACCCACAATGGGAAAGGGACTTACCTAAGGTCACACAGCTAGCTATGTGCAGAGCTAGGGCTAGAACCCAGGTCTTGAACCTCCAATCCAAGGGTTTTTCTTTTTCTCCCTACAGCATCCGTTGTTCCTTTTCTCTTGGTGGTTTCTAAATATGGCAGACGACAGACAGGGCAGCCTCACTAGGATCCCTCGTTTCATAGAATGCCTTACTAGCAAGATCAAAGCCAATCAAACTCTCTGAAAGGCGCCTAAACAGCTGACATTGCGGTAATAACAATAGTGTAGCAATAACTATTATTGCTACATGAAAAAAATATATTTAATAATAAGCTCATTGATTTTTAACAGCATCTCTGTGTTGCCTAATTGATGGGAAGTTGTATGTTTGTGTAGCCGATGGGGGTTATGAATTAAATATGGCCGTCTTTCCTTGAGGGATGCATGTCAATGCAAGCAAGATGCAAGACCTACGTCTCCCCCAAGCAAAACAGTCCCCTTGTAACAGAAGCAGGGAAGACTGAAATGCGAACAAAAATAAAAACCATCCATCACTGTTTATTAAGTGCTGCTACTTGAAGGTAAAAGCGATATTGAACTGTTTTTAAATTGGAAAGAATGTAGCTGGACAAAATATTGATTATAATATTAGCTGGGTGACAAATTTTATTCTTTTGTCCACATTCATCAAAGGAGCAATTTGGAGTGAATCATTCTCTCTACACCCATAAACCAATTTTTCTTCCCTTTTTATTTTTTAAGCACACATGTTTATTAAGGAACACAGAGCGAGAGGGATGATACCTTCTGGTTCAAGTTGTCGAAACCATGCTGTATGCATCACAGGACCCATGATTGCTTTAGACCAGGCCATGCACTGATCTCTAAGGTGCTTATATAAAATTTAATATGAGCTTAAAAATTGAGGAGGACTAAGTCTGTTCCCACAACTTAAAAGGAAGGGGGTGGGTCAGATTTGATTTCATTTTTAGCTGTGGTTTTCAAGTGGAAGTTCTGAAGCATTTATTTATTTTTCCAAATTTATAGTGTGCCCCTCCAGCCCACTGGCCGCTATTCAACGAAAACATGCAAGTTTCTATGGCAAAATGGGCCAAGGCAGGGAAACGAAAATTGAAAATGTCGGCCGACGATGGAGAGAATTTAATAAAAATTCAGTTTGAAGCTTTGTTTGCTTCCACTCTATGCAACCTCAAGTCATTTTTTTGTTTTTATGAGGCTATATAAGCTCTGAGATCTTCCTGGAAACCTTACCGGGCAGTCCAGTGTCCTCAGCAGTAGAGGGAGACTGGTGGGTATAAGATTTAGTCCAGGCCCCCATGTTTTTAGAAATGCCAACTTTGTCCAGATCTGGTCTGTGGTGATTGGCATCCCCACTTCTTCACTTAGATTTTTGGGACTCAGCATCTTCCATCTTCAGCTGTGCAGTGAGCCAAAATGGCACTCTCATTTCTTCAGACAAATCTCATTATCCCAGCCAAAGTTATACTCACTGCGCAATGGAAAGAAGTTTGCTTGGGTTGGGGATATAGCTCAGTGGTACAGTGCCTGCCTAGCATGCAAGAAGATCTGCAAAAAAAAAAAAAAATTGCTTGCAAGTAAATTATGCTCTTGAAAGTCCCCCATCTTGGCTGCTGTAAAGCCAAGTGGGTTGTCCTTGTATGTCACTTGGCTTACATAGCTGTCCCCTTCTCAGTCAAATGAGCAAGCTTTCAAGGAAGCTGGCCAGAGTTAGTCGATCAGTCAACAAGATTTTAACAAGTTCCTGCAAGGTGTGGAGCAGTGGTAACATTTTATGTAGCACTTTATGGCTGCCAGTATATTGTCTTATGTGCTTCTCGTAGGCAGATGTTGTCAGTAAGACTCAGAGAGGTTCAGCGACTTCCCTAAAGTCACGTAGACCTGCAGTAAAGGGCTCCGGTTCAGGTGTCCCAGAACTGTTTATCCTTCATCACTTCACTGTTAAGTGATTGCGTTGCAAACAAGTACAACATTCGGGCAAGAAGTTTGCATGCTCCTGGATGAGCCTTCGAAATGTAATCTGAGCAAATCCAAAAGTCCACATGCCCCTCCCTCAGCATGATGTCAGTCAAAAGTAATTGAAAGTAATTTTAGGGTTTCTATGCATCTCTCAAAGAACATTAATGTAATTAAAGAGAATGCACTTCATCCAACTTTGTCTCATTTATTCTGTCGTTCTCCTCTTCCTATCTTAGCCATCTTGAAGTTACATATGCCCTGTTAATAGTCCATTTTCCTCTCTGTTGCTGTAACAAAATACCCAAGGGTGGATACTTTGTTGAAAAATAGGTTTATTTCCTCACAATTTGGGGGGTTTAAGAGAACATTGCTGGCAATTGCTTGGCTCTGGTGAGGACACACTTTGGCTATGTCACATCTCAGCAGCTGGGATATGGCAGAGGGGGTGACCGCATGGTGAGACAGGAATCCAAGCAGACTCCTTCTCGGGAGAGTCCTAACCAGAGTCCCAAGAGAGCTACCTTGATTTCTTCCAAAGGCATGCCTCCAATGATCTAAGGACCTCGCTCAAGTCTCCTCCTCTTAAAGGTCCTGCTATCTCTTAACATCGCCCCGCTGAATACCAAGCTGTCAACACACAAACTCTCAGGGGAACACACTTAAACCACATCCAAACCATTACATCCCAATTCCCCAATCTTCTTCCTTTACTCTCTTAGGAGCCCTTTCTTCCAGGATTTTCCCACTGGTTATCCAGCTCTGAATAGAGCCTGGAGCTTGGTGGGGACAGGGATGTGTGTCAAGAACGAAGCTGGGACAACTCAGCCAAGGTCAACATTGTCTCCTCCATGAGTGTGTGTTGATACCCTAAGGAGGAAGTCACTGTGGATGAAAGCATCAAGACGTAGAAAACAGTGGGCATTTGTGTGTGCCTGACAGATGGGTAGAACATATAAGATTTCAAAAGCAAGAAAGAAAAAGTACCCAATAGAAAGGGATGAAGGCATGAAGTGAGTAAATATTAAAATAGAGAAGTCCCCTGCTTTAAAACCACAAGAAGTCCTCAATAAAAAGCTTCATTGAGTATCTGATCCCTGTTATCCTCAGTACTCTGGGTTACCATATACCCGATAAAATTCTCCAAGAGGAAAAAAATGTGACTTTCCCCTCTAACAGAAGTTGCGTGCATGCAGTGACTAAACAGGCAAGTGGAGCGGAATGTCCTGGCCTCTATTGGCCTTGTGCAAACTCTGTAACCTCTCTTTATCCCCTCTTCCCCATCTTCGTGAAATAGAAATATTAATGCTAGATATCTCACAAGATATTGTGGGCATTTACATGAGTTGACACAAACAGAGCACTGGTCAACACTCAGTAACCATTAGTTTCTTGCATGACTTTTAACTGAACTGAACTGTCTGCACCAATATTTTTTAACTGATTATAATAATATAGCGCCAACAGCTACCATTTTTTGAGGGTTGATAACTAATTGGGTACTTAATACAAGAGATTTTAGTTAATCCTCATAAACATTCTGCATGGTAGAGGTCTTCCATGTAGCAGGTGCATCTTGGAAATTAAGGAATATTTCCTGGTCTCTTTGCAGCTGGGCAAAGCCTGGTCACCTTCCTGGCGGAGAAAGACGTCTTCTGGTTCCTTTCCACCCTCCTTCTCCTTGCTGGGATGTGTCAGATAGGACCCAGTGAAAGGTCTGCATGAGCTCTCTCGCTCCCTTTCACAGCTAAGCCTTAAGCCTAAAGACCAGGCTTCTAAGTGGAATCTTGTCTTTCTGCAATATGTGGAAATCCAGTGTGGATATATTGGATGCCCAACAGCTGAAGAAAGCAGAATAAAGATTTCAGGAATCTGCATTGACTGTGTTTACTCTAAAGATAAACCTTTACCTTCTAACTGATTTCTTTTCCCTATTAATTAGGGGAAAACCATGTCTGACAGTTTCTGAAAGCTTGGCTGCAGATGTGTGGACAAAAGAGAGGAGATAAGCCTCTCTTTCCTTATAAGATGGGCATAGTTTCTCACATGTCTCTTTCAGCATAATGGGGGCAATGCATGCTGGTCTTTTTTGAGGCCATGGAAGACAAGTTTTATCCCTGACGAAATTTTCTTATTACAGTCATGTAGCCTTCCTAGAAAAGTTGGGGATTTCTCAGAGAAGAAGAAAATACACGACTTGACACACTGGGCTGGCTGGGTTAAAATAGTAACAACGTTAAGCACACTCTCTCTGTTTAGGACTCAGGTTTCAACTGAGTGCATTTCAGTCTGGTATATAATAAGTGTGGTAAGGTCACGGTGGCACAAACTCACCGCCCTGTCCCTGTCCCCATTACCAGGTGGAGGGAAAGTCCTGGGAAGTTCATGTGCACCAGCAGCTCATGCAGGAGCTGTCCACCCTGGCAAAAGCTGCCTGCCGTTTGGTACCATTAGTTTCTTTCATGCTTTCAAGTTTCTATGGAAGTTTTCTCTAGAACTGAAATTTCTCGTTTGTCCTTGTATCAGTCAGAGGTCTCCAGAGAAACAGAACCAGTGGGAAATTCCATCTGTTTATATGATAAGGAATTGCCTCATTGTGAGGCGGTGGGACTGGCAAGTCTGGAACTGTAAGACAGGCCAGCAGGCTGGAAACTCAGGCAGAAGTTGATGTGACGATCTTGAGACAGAATTTCTTCTTCTCTAGAAAAACATGGTTTTTGCTGTTAAGACCTTTAACTGATTGAATGAAATCCATTCACATTCCTGAGGGTAATTTCGGACCTTAAAGTCCATTCATTGTTGCTGTTCACCACATCTACAGAGTACCTGTAGAGTAATACCTAAATCAGTGTTGGCTTAAGTCACTGATGGGGCTGGTAAGGAGACTTTGTGGGCTGGACTTGGGGTTCCTAAGTGCCTTCCTCTGCAATGGGTCTACTGTGAGCCAGCCAGCCTGCCTTGGGTTTGGACTCACAGGACACACAGAAACTTGGATGTCAGCCAGGTCCTCCTGTGGAGAAGATGTGGAAGTCTTCTCCTCGTGTTGTGCTGTGATCCGCACAGCACAGAGCCCTCACCCATTGCTCATGCCCCACAGTAGGACTGGTAGCTCTCTTAGCTGTTGGAGCTGACCATGTTTAGGGAAACTCCTTAGAAAACACACGTTGAAGGATGAAGGATAGTTTACAATTGCATAAATTGGGAAAATGGGAGGTTGTTCAATCAGCAGCACGGACACACACACACACACACACACACACACACACACACACACACCTAGCACAAAGGTGAATAGAGCTTGCAAAGAAATGGTCAGAGGGGGCTTCCAAGGAATTGACTGATAGCTGACCATATCAGTTGCACTTCAAGATCATTTATAATCAGAATCTGAGTTTCCAAACCCAAGAACAGGGCCAGTCACACTTGACCTTTAAAATTCGTTCCCCACATGGGCTGTGTGGATTTTGGAAAAAAAAGATCTTCCTTTCTGTCCTAGAAACAAGAAGCTAAGTTTACATATTCTCCAGATTGGCTATGAAGAGATATGGGACCCCTCAGTCTGCTGTGACCTGAAACAGCTACTCTGACTTGGGGCTCCCACAGGCCTTCAAAGGACACTGTGCCAAGGCTTGGCTGCCCAGTGATTAGGCCCTGAAGAGCTGTTCTGTGTTTCTGGCAGTTCACACACACACACACACACACACACACACACACACACACACACACCCATGCACACACTTCAAAGGATAGTGATGAAGTGTGCTCACAGGACTGGACAAAGTAACATAATGGTGTGATAGGGGTGAGGGTGCAGACTTGGGGATCAGAGCATTGGAGGCTGACAGATGAGATCATCCTCAGGGCCCTTGCAAGGTTGAAGTGCTCTGCCAACTCTGGTGCATATCTTCCCTACATGCTGCAAAGTTCCCCAAGTTCTCAGCAGAGCCCAGGACTCTGACAAGTCCCCAGGTTCTGCCCTACATGTCACCCTGATCACTCCCCTCAGCTCATTTTGGGTACCCTTGGTTTTCTGAAAAACTCATTCTTTCTTAGATATGAGAGCCTGAGAGAAATTCTGAAACACAGGGCTGTTTAGGGATAAAATTTGTCATAAAATTTCAAAATGGCAAGAATTACAAGGGAGAGGAGTGACATCAGAATATCCTAAACAGGGAATTATTCTAGGGGGCTGAGGTGAAAACGCTACCAACCCTGTAAGTTGCAGGGCCCTGTCTGATGCTGTAATCAGAACAGTAGGAAATGGTCAGGGTCACAGGGCTGCTGTAGAGCCAAGAGCAAAGCTGAATCTTGAAATCAAGATTGTCCCCGCCAAGGCAAAAACAGGTGTTTCCAAAGCACCCTAAAAACAAGTCTGGGAATTCTTAGCCCCATATGCAGAGCAAGTCCCTTATTTTCCATGGGTCTGGTGTGTTTTGGAACCCTCATGTGTACAGATGTAGTGGATCTTGGCCTCTTAAATGTCACCTTGCTTCTCTGATATTCGGTATGTGCATTACAGGGATAGAATAGCTGGACCTATAATGTCTCGTGCCAAATTATACATTGCAAGAGTCAGAATTCAGGCTCAGACATCTGATCATCGAACCACAGAACTTTGGGATTAGTCATGCGAATGAAAGCCATTTGGCCCCGTTTTCTTTGTGAACAAAGCTATCTGCATTGCTTCATTTAATCTAGCATATATCTGGCAATTATTGACGTTAAATTGATTTAGTGTTTTGAGCGGTGTTTCAGACACCGACCACAGAACTCCCAGTTTATTTTACAGCTGAATACGGAACACGGATTCCTTCCTGGTGTAATCAGCTTTGTGTTTAACCCCTAAAGTGTAAGCATTGATCCCTCTTAAAGTTGGTGACTTAATTACTCTCCGACGCGCTCTCCCTCTGTGTAATTTATTCTCAGGAAATAAACAGAGCCCTTTGGGTGGAGGGTCACCTGCCTAAGCTCCAGAGAGAGGATCAGTGTGACCGAGTAGGAAGACAACTTGCTAAGTGTGTCATGGTTGTTTACCATCCATGGTAGGAACATTAACAGTAGCTGCTATTTCACCAGAAAGTTCTAAAAGGTGTTTTAAGTTGTTCCCAAAGCTCCTAAGTAATTCTCCCAGCATCTCTCAGAGGTATTAGCCAATTTTACAGGCAAGATATGTGAGGGAACATGTATGAGGGGCGAGAGTGGGCTAGTGAGAGACAGAAAGGTGAGACTATTGTCGGGAATAAAGACAGTAATTGAACAGGATCTCCTTACCCCTTTCTCTCACAGGTCACACTGACTCCTACATCACATTACTGATATTAACATAAGCACGAGAGATTAGTTTTATAGTTCACATGAAAACAAGATGACATTTATCTTCCCTTTTCAATGAGTCATCTCATTAGGGAAAGCATAAGCATCTAGTCCAGGTTAAAACAGTACAGGTAAAAACAAAATTAATCCAGTAACTGCTTTGTCACTTTTTAAGAATTTATAATATAAAAGTGCATATGCCTAGCTTTGTTTACTAAAGGTGCTTCTCAGCTATTAGTCTTGGCCAACCACAAATTAGAATATATTCCTAATGGAATGATAAAGATGAGGACAGATTGTAAAAGATCCTGACCCAGACATCACTTGGCTTTTCAATTGAGTTGACTCAATCAGAATTAAAACTGTCTTCCCCTTACTCTACCCCAAGCCCTGAACTAATAGAGCAAAGATAGGAGAAAACCTTTTGATGAGTTTAAAACCTGTAGTATAAAAAGAGACTGGGGCAGGTATGTTACTAGGAGTAGTAAATCTTTTTTATTTTTTTAAAGGACCTGAGACATGGCATAGCTGGCCAGTTGTTTGTTTAGCATGGCTTTCTTAGGATCACCTTGGCCCACTGAGGACTGAGTTTCAAGTGTCAAGTTCAAGGCAGGATTCTACCAGGAGGAATGGCAGAGCTGGAGCTTCCATTCGGAATGATTGAGTAGCCAATAAATTCTGACTCGGGTGTGAGACAAGATGACTTCCTTGTCTTGATGTTGGGCTGGAGCCATTTCTGGGAGTGGCGACCCTGCTGATGGGTTTGCTGGGAGAGCCTGATGTCAGGTCCCTGGTGTCCAAGTCAGCAGAGGATGCTGGCTGCAGAGTGGCCTCTCTCCCAGTGTGCTGGGCCTGCCTTTCTGGGCGTCTTCCCGAGGGAGTGGTGGCCTCTCTTTCCCATGCTTCCAGATCCCATCCAGCAGCTTCTTGAGAAAGCAGAGCAGGCTCCATGGCCTCTGAGTGAAGGGCCAAGATGTTTTACTTCCAGGTCAGCTGCTGACTCCCCAGGGAAGGAATTTTTTATTTTTATTTTTTTGGTTAATGGTCATAGTCCATCATCCACTGCATAGAGAGAAAGCATGAAACCAAAACCAAACGCTAGGTTCTGGAAGGCTCATGTGGATAAAAACCAAGTCTCTGCTTTGGCAGGTAATTGGATATGGGGAGTATTGATTGTCCTGTTCTTTCCTCCCCACTGATGTTAATTAAAATTTTAGTCATTTATTTAATTCTCTGCCTTCTTCCAAAAACTCTTGACATGTTACTTTGGTTTATTGACACTCCTTTCAAAGACAATTTGGAGGTTAGAAAACCAAGTCGGGGCTGGTGGAGTGGTTCAAGTGGCATAGAGCATGTCTTGAAAGCATGAGGTCTTGAGATCAAGCCCCTGTACCACCAAAAAAAAAAAAAAAGAAAGAAAGAAAACCAAGTAGCAGTGAGAATTTCAATTGAGTTTGGGGACTAGCTGCAACTTTAAATTTTTTTGTGTTACCATCTCTTATGACATATGTTTGTCGGGGCACGTGCTGACTCAATGGTGATGTATGTTCTGGAAAGGAAGTGAGTGCCTGAACTATTTTAAAGTTTGAGGTCTGTGGAAATAGCTCATTTCCCATATTCTTTTTTCTCAACAAAGGCTTCTTTTGCATTTGAGCCACCAGAAACATATGTTTACAAGTAACTGTACAGAGACATACTCTGCTGTACCAGGTTTTATGGACAGATGTCATTTAGTGAAAGGCAGGAACAAGTATCTAAATGAACTTTCACCTTTGGAAGTGTTCCAGAACATGTTCTATGAGCACTGTGTAACATAAAACCAGGCTTCAAAAAAAAAAAAAAAAACCCCAAGAAAACCCTCAAACCTCATCAGTTTGAAGTTATCTGGTGTTTAGACTGGGCTCAGTTAAGGACTTCTGAAATATTAACATGAACAGAGGTTCTTGTTTTAAGCCAGTTGGGGCTGATACAGCAGACTCCCATAAATCTATCCCATTCATATTTAGCTTTTTTTTTTTTTAACCTGAGGTGAGACATCTCAGTCACTCAAATGACATGGGAGATTTTGTTACTAGCCCTAACTTTTGTAATGTGATGTCTTAGTTTCACTTGGTCTAGTGATTCAGCATAT